GATATTTTATTGACTGTCAACTCGAAATAATTACACTTTTCAAGTCAGATAATGGACATAACAGCTTTTTTTTCAAAATCAGAGCGGAATTTTTTCTAGCTTTTGAAAAATGAAAATTTTAAAAGTAAAGTGTCAGGCGTTTCACATTTGTTCGTGGTTCCCATCCGTATACTTAATAATATATAATTTTATTGTATATAGTAAAATGGATTGTTTCACTTAAAATCACATGTGATAGAGATATGAACTCATTTTTTAAGTTTCTTTTTCTGTGTGTTATTTTAAGTGAACGTTATTTGGGAAAAAAAAATATTCGGCCAATTTCATTAATGTCGCAAATTCTGCTGTAATTGTGAATCAATTATAAATGTGTCTTTCTTGGTATTTTACTGATTTTGTTATGACAGAACAAAACCTACAAACTGTAAATTAATTGATTGGAACAGAAAGAGAAGAAAACGAATATCTGAACCAGTTTTCTGTATTAGTACCGTAACCGCTCCGGTGCAAGTGGTTAGAGCGAATACCTTGGATGCAAGAGATAGCGGGTTCGAACCAAGGCTGAGTCATACTAAAGGCTTGTAAATAATGGTGCTAACAGCTGCCTCTCTAGACGCTCAGCATTAAGAAGTTAGTGTTAGGACTGGTCGTCCTGATGTAAGGATAATGTGACTGGGTACATTGGTGCTACATGTCTGCAATGCCTCATTGCAGACATCGTAGCGAAAGAAACGAGTGTTAAAGATGTGTAAAAAAATTCAAATTACACACTTTTTAGTCATCTCCAAAAAGTGTATAGAAAAATTCTCGCCTTGATAGCGATGATCACTAATGAAGAAAGGTGTTTAGAATATTTCTCAGTCTCATATATACAAATTCTTACCTTTCCAGTTTTTTAACGTCATTATGTTCGGTTGTGATTAAGTTTCTAAGATGAAGAAAGCCAAACATGACCTTTATTAAATTAAGTTCATTCGAATTTGAACTGAGCTCTATTCTAAGAATTTTTCTGTCTGTCCTTCTTTCCTTTAGGGATACTAATCTATTGAAATTGCCCTGTACACTCTTAAGGTCAGGCTATTAGTAAATCTATATTATTCAAGACCCACATTTTTTATACATAGAGAAAAACTGTCGCGCATGGTTCGGTGGAACGCTGCCATAATTCTATTATTAAAACTATTTTGTGACTAGATACAGTTTCACATTCATTCCAATCTCATACTTTTACCAAAAATATCTTTTCTTTTTTATTTTGAGGGTAGCTATCAGGCACATTTGTAAATACGGACGTCTGTAAATATTTTAGTCTGCTGTCCGTAGCATAATCATGACATGTAGATTATACCCTCAGCCATCGACGAATTGGTGTAAAACATTTAAATCCGTTTCCATGTTGTTGCTATGGCCTGCCCTTAGAACTGATTCATGACTTTTATTCTTGGAACAATAAAGCTAAAGCACACTGTATAATGCAACATCAGTAACGGAAATAAGTTTTGTCTGACCTTACCTGGTCTGCGTTCCATTTAATTGCAGGAAGCAAACGGAGATTATTAAGGTTTAAAGCCGAATCTCAAAGTGTTTGAGTGGTGACATCAATTCTTATTGTTCTGTTTCTAGCAAATGTTAAACGTCAGACATAAAATATTGAAGAGCAGAGTTCGAAACCAGAGAATTATTGAAGAGCATTTTGTAATACTATCCATTGAAAGAAAAAAGATCTATTGTCGCTATGTCTCTCTGTGTGTCTCACGATTATTGCCCGTGCTGAGTCAACACGGGCTTCATTATTTGATTTGTTTACGTATGTCTGTTTATTACGATGACCATATGTCTCGTTAAACTATTAATGATATATTCTGAATTCATTTAAGAGCTGAACTTTATATTTTGAGATTCTTGATGTCACGAAGCTTAAAAATTGATGACAATGTATAATCGACAGTATCAAAGGTCAAGAGGTCTCACAGAAAATAATTAAAGCGCATTTGATCAGTATTTGGTGGCTACACATACTCAAGTTTATTCAGTGACTAAAACCCTTTTCAGAGATTTACGTACGTTCAAGGCTTAATCGTCAACTTGTGATTTTCGATACATTCATTTTAAAGAGAGACAAGCCTAGTGCATATTAGGGAACCCTTCTATTCCTAGACTGATAATATATTGATAAATGACTGCTAATTAAAACCCAAATCAAAAAAGATATTAAAGCAATCCACGAAAAAACACCCACCCACTAACCTCAAAAAAAAGTTAAACCACATATGCAAACATGTTTCTGCTTATCGTAGACATGTTTTGCTTCAGAAAAGTTATATCAGGGTCTCGCCAATACATTTAATAAGAAAAACGGTCGAAATATCTAACCACTCAAAAATCAAATATTTTAGTTTTACGTCAGATATAAAACAATAATTTTCATTGTACTTGAAATAAATAGACTGCCATACTTTTATGAATATGAACTGCAAACTGGACTACTCAGGGCAAACATGTCCGACTGATTAATGGATTCACTTCGTCTTCAAAACAACAAGGAAGAGAGATTTTCGTTGTGCTAATAAATTCTGTAGTGTTTTCTAAACAGGCAATGAATAAAAATATTAACACGTCCAATGCAGCATTCAAATACAGCTCAGAGCTTGCTATCGTAAGAATATGATAAAAATTTATTGCATTCCTTTCTTCAAGTGCGATCTGTATAATATTTTTTGTTAACTAAAATTCCATAACTTTCTAATTTTTATATTTAAAAACATAAAGTATAGTTTTATACCTGGAATTAAGCTTTCTTCTCAAAAGTTAAATTGCACAAATTTTAGAAATACATACAAGAAGCATAAATCAAATAGCATTATGAATTGATCAAACTTATGGTATAATTCCATTTATTTACCATGCAAAACAATTCATGCATCTATGTTAAATAATTTATGTTATGACATAGTGTTGAGTACAGTCTATGCAGTCATTTCTAAAAATTTTAAGCGTGTCCTAACAAGAATTATATCCAAATTTTATTACATAAATATCTTTTTCTACCACCAGATAAGACAATTTTATTGTACAAATGAAAATCTTGTTTTTTTGGGCTTTGCAAACCTATTAACGTTTCGACGTTTTCAAAAATCTCTATTGCGTTTATCCAGAAAACTGATTTCTTGTCTTAAATAAATTTCGTCTAGGAGATCGTATACATTTATTTAGGAGTCCCTCTCCGGTGTTTTGCTCACAACGTATCTATCTCATTATATCCTAAAATCCAATATGGTTTAGATACATTCTGGTTAGTACAGTGTACGGCCTGAAAAACGATACATGGTGCAAAAGCCACCCCTAATATTATGAGAACTAACGCTAACCAACAACATAAAACAACAGCAACAGCAACAAAAACAACAACAATAATAATAATAATAATAATAATAATAATAATAATAATAATAATAATAATAATGATGATGATGATGATGATGATGATGATGATGATGATGATGATAATAATAATAATAATAATAATAATAATAATAATAATAATAATAATAATAATAATAATAATAATAATAATAATAATAATAATAATAATAATAATAATAATAATAACAACATACTTATTTTTTAAGATTTGGTAATTGTGTTGTATTCAAATTCATACTAGGTTTGATAAGATGATTCATTTTTAGCGCCTGTTTGTAATTAAAAAGTTAATTAGCAGTCCCATTTGTCACGGAATTGTATAAATGTATTCTTTTACTATATAAATGTACTCGGGTTTCGTTTTCCGTGTACAACGATACCGAAAGGGTGATCAATATACATTCTACATGCTTGTTTGGCCAGTGGAATTGGAAGCAAAGAGTTAAGGGAGTATATACATTGCTCCAGATATATAATATTTTGGCCGTGGGCTAATGTAGGTTTTTTTTTTAAATACCCAGTGCTCTACTATTGGGTAAACCTATCAATTCGTTATTTTGAACGAAATATCACTTATTTTGCTTTTATGAGTAAAACTATCAATTCGTTGTTTTGAACGAAAAATCATTTGCATGTTACTAATGTGAAGGTCATATTTCTGTTTTGTGATATACCGTGAATCGTTCTTTCTTTGTCTTGGTATCGCTTTTGTTGCATTAAGATCGTGCTAATTATGTTAGTCCCATATTGGGACCCTTTTACGCACGTGTCTCTCATGCTTCACTTGATATTTTCATATAACATTAAATATTGTATTGCATTCCCATCTCGTGTGTGTGTGTGTGTGTGTGTGTGTATGTGTGTGGATCATTTGGACACTTCCATATATTCCCATAACGATCAAATTTGCGTTTCTGCATCTTCATAAGGAAGTGCAATTAAGGACGTACTCTTCTTCCAGACTGCAATGAATATATTAAATCCAGGCAATATATCACAGATACATATACAGTTTTCAGATAAAGTATGCTACTTTTCTGAATAATACATACAGTTATCATACAAAGTGTGGTGATTTTCTCAAATATTGCATTCAATTATCGTACAAAAGTGTGCTTCCTATCTGAATAATAGTTATGATATAAAGTGTGCTACTTTTCCGAATATTATATACAGTAATCATTCAAAGTCTGGTGCTTTTCTGAATATTACATGCAGTTATACATAGTGTGCTACCTTTCTGTATAATACATAGTTATCACACATAGTGTGCTACATACATCTATCATATAAAGTACACTGCATTTCTGAATATTACAAGCACTTATCTTGCAAAGTGTGTTAACCTATATGAGTACATACAATTATCATACAACGTGTTCTATATTTCTGAATAATGCATTCTGTTATCTTGCAAGAGTGTTACATTTCTAAATAATACACATAATTATCTTCAAAAAGCGGATTTATAAACGTGGTTCGAGTGTTTTAACAGAGATCTATGAACCAACTCGCTTATACCATCGGATGAATTATTGCTACAATGTAGAATATTGTATACTCAATTGGACGAGACCGCTTCTGTGGCCTAAGTAATTAGAGCGTCCGTCTCGAATGCGGGAGGTCATGGGTTCGAACCCCGACCGAGCCA